ACAACATGAATGGACCCTGAGGGCATTATGTGAAGTAAAATAAGCCAGACAGAGAAAGACAAATACCATGTAATCTCATTTATATGTGAAATCTAAAAAAAAAAAAAAAAAGTCAAACTCAGAAAACAGATTGCTCATTGCCAGACAGGGAATTGGGAGGTTGGAGAAGTGAGTGAATGGGTCAAAGGGTACAAATTTCCAGTTATAAAATAAGTAAGTCATGGGGAGATAATGTACAGCATGGTGACAATAGTTAACAATCCTACACTGCATATTTGAAAGTTCTAAGTTCTATAAGAACAGATCTTAAAATTTCTCATCCCAAGAAAAAAAATTCTGTAAGTATGTGTGGTGATGAATGATAACTAGACTTATTATAGTGATAATTTCCCAATTGCACAAATATCAAATCATTATGTTGTACACCTGAAATCAATATGTTTCATATCTATTATACCTCAATAAAAAAGATAAAATAAAAATATCTATACAGAAAAAAAGACTTAATGGTTTTCCAGTTCTCTCCAAACTTAAAGTCTACTTTGCTGAAGAAAAATATATTTACTTTCTTTTCTTCATGATTTGAAGAACTCTGCTAAAGATAATTAAAGCTAACTGCACCTAATACTTTTTAGCAAATCAACTTGTCATATTGCAGTTTTTCTGAAATAAAAATGGTATGTAGTGCTTAGCATAATTAAGTTAGCTGAGGAACTGATGAATAGATGTAGCATGATCATATCTGTAATCTTTTTTTTTTTTTTTTTTTTTTTTTTTACCAAAGTCAAAATGCATATTCTTGCTCTGGCTTAAAAGAAAAAGCAACATCTATTGAAAATATTTTCAAACCATAACAAATTTTAGATTTTAATTTTAACAGAAATGGCATATACTTATTTGTCCAAGAAGTATTTAATCGCACATCTACTTTTGGTCAAGCATTGTATGAGGCAAAAAGCAGTCAACAGGATAGACATAGCTGTTACCACAGCATGTGAGTCTTACCATGTTTACGGACACAGGAGTATCAAGCAGGTGAATTATTCTATCTCCCTCCAGCTATTATATTATTTCTCTGCTGCCTTTGAAAGCAAAAATTCTCAAAAAAGTTGTTCATACTGTCCCCATATCTGTTTTCCATCCCCTGTTGAGGCTATTCCAATGAAGCTTTTATCTGCTATTTCAAATATGTTAGGACCCCCAATGACCTCCAGAGGGCTACACAATTATATTCCCAGATGGGAATACATATCTGATCAATTCCCAGATGACACCTTGCCACGCCTATTAGCACGCCACGCAGCTAATCTTTCCCATCTTCTTAAAATACTCATTTACTTGGCTTCTCATCACTGCTCTTTTGGTTTTCCTCCCTGCCTAGTGCTTCCTCATTCTCTCAAAACTTAAATGCTGGAATTACCCAGAGCTGAGTCATCCAACTTCCGTTTGTTTGTTGTTGTTGTTGTTGTTGTTGTTGTTGTTGTTGTTTTCATCCTGCAGATGGCTTTAAATATAATCTATATATTGATAATTCCCCTTTTTGTATCTCTATTCTGGGATTTTCCCTTTGGTTCCAGAATTCTATATACAGGTTCCAATTCAAAATCTCTATTTGGGTGTCCCATATCTCAACATGTCCAAAATCTGTATTCACCCTACTCATAGACCCTCTCCCTATGTTCCTCCTCTATAGTCTTCCCATACTCAGGCCAGACCCTTGATTCATCATAGGCTGCTTTGTTTCTTTAACATCCTGTATTCAATCTCTCATTTAATCCTGCTGGCTAAGTCTTCCAAATGTATCCATAATTTGACCACTTATCACTACCTTTCCTGCTACTACCCAGATCCCCACCATCGTCTGATCTGGTTTCTTTTAATTACTTTCTAACTAATTTCCCCTCTAACTCTACCTCCTACAAGAGAGCCTGTTGAAACTAAAATCTCTCCTGTGGCTTTAGTGTCTCAGAGTGAAAGCCAAAGTCTTTAAAGTAGCAAGTTTTAGCTTCATTCAATCTTTAGCTAAGAGCAGTGGCCTACCTTGAGTGCTCAGTTCAGCTCCACAAAAAACATCCATGTGATCTTCCAGGAGGTGGCAGAGATCGCCCTCAGCAGCCTCAGTTACAATGTCCAGCTATACAGCTTTCACGTGGTGACCTGACTGCTTGGGGCCTCCCTGCTCTAACCCTGCAGCAGCACAGAAAGGAGTGAGGTGACCTTCTGCTGAGTTGGCTGGGCTGTACACAGTCCCTGGGCTGTGACCATGGACCTGCACCCGGAACAGATGGGCACCACCGAGGACACACCCTGGACCCGGGGTCTGGGATCCTTGGACTGCAGAGAAACCCCTCTGGGAAGGGGGTTTCCAACCCCATCTGCCCTGTGAGGAGGGAGCCCCCTAGAATCACTATGACTCCCAGCTCCCAGGCCAGAACATCCCAGAGCTGCCTGGGCAGCCCAGCATCACCTTGTGTCTGTTCTTGAGGCTACACCTTCAGAATCCTGTGTTCCTATGACCATCTGCCCCTTCCCCCTACCCATCTGTGTGACAACTGTATAAACTAAAATGACATCACTCGTCAAAAGAAATTCCAAAAAAGTCTCTCTCTGACTTCTCCCTTACTACCCCTTCCCTTGTTCGCTCTGCTCCAGCCACACTGGGCACCTTGCTGTTCCGAGAAAACTTTCAGAACATTATTGCTTCAAGGTGTTCACACTTGCTGTTTCCTCTGACCTGATCGCTTTTCCCAGTTATGCTCAGCTCAGGGCCAACCCCTCATTTACTTATAGATTCTCCTCTAAAACATCTAATGCATGAGGACTTACCTGGACCTCCATATAAAGGAGCCCCATCTACTATTTTCTTGGCTCTCTCATCTCCCTAATCCTGGTTCATGTTTCCTCACACTGAGTTTAATTGTATGAAGTACTATGTACTTGTTTACTTCTTGTCTGCCCTCCAATCCCACCACACTAGATACAAACTTCACAAGAATTGAGATCATGTCTGTTGTGTTCACTACTGCATCCTTAGGGTCTAAAACAGGGATTAGAACTAGGCACTCAAATAATTGTTGAATGATTGATTGAGTGAATTTACAAAAGGAATTATAAAGTGCTATAGAAGCATAAAACACAGGGATCTAACATAGGCTGGAGAAGCAAGAAAAGATTTTTTTAGGAATCTGAAAACCAAATGCTAAAAAGACAAGTAGGTGTTTGCCAGGAAAAGGAAGAGGAAGGGAAGAGCTCATCCACAAAGGGAACAACATTGCCAAGCCCTCAAGTCTGTTTATTCAACAAATATTTATTAAATACCTAAATTGTACCAGGCTGTGTTATAGGCATGTGGGACATAAGGAGTAAAGGGGAAAGTGCATAGACAAATAAATACTGGCATATGGTCATTTAATAAAAAAGCTATGAAAACAAATTAACCTAGGATAGAGAATAAAGAATGATGGGAATAGGGAAAGAAGACTAGAAATTTGAGGAAGTGCAATTTGGGTAGAGACTGAAGGAAGTTCTCCCTAATAAGAAGGAATAATTTACCTCTCGATAAGTTATTATTGGAGGACAAAGCAAAAAAAACAAAGTACAAATCTATTATATCTTTATTTATTATTACCTTATTAATCTATCAGGTACTGAGAACTTTCTTTTAAAAACCTTTTACCTTTGGTGGGTTTATCAACACAATGGTTCGGTCAATTTTTACTTTCTATATTTCGAGACTATATTAGGTACATTTAAGCTTATAAGTGGTTTATATTCCTGCTGACTTTAATGTTTTCTTTCTATATATGCTCCTTTTTTATGCTTAGTTGATTTTGGATTTTAAAATTCTTTTACCACTCTTCTTTTTTACTGCTGTAATAGAAATACTACATGTTACTTCTTTTCTTTGAGCAATTTCTTGACATTTAATATGTACATATTTTACTTAAAGCTCAAAGTTAATGAAAATCTCAATTTTCTTCTTGGCAGTACAGGGGCTTTAATTCAAAATTTGTCTTACTATTCAAATAATTTAGTTCTCTAGTTTTTATCCCATAGGTTATACAAAAATATTATTTTTATACAAAAATATTTAGTTAGAAATAACCACAAGTGTATCCATTTTTTGGTTTACCACTCCTTGCTCTCAGTGCTAACTTTTGGATTTGTCTTTTCCCTGAAGTACAATCTTGAAATATCCTTCAGCAAGGAAGAGTCTAGTAGAAACAAACTCTCTTCACATTTTTATGAAAATATATTTATTTCATTCTTATTAAGTGAAACTGTTGGTGAAAAATGAACAAACCTTTTTTGAAATTTTAAAGAGAAAGGACAAGAGTTTCATTTGAACTTGAGGTAGAACAGCTGCTCCAGATACATAATCTTCACAAAGAAGAGACAGCTCCAGAGAAGGAAGGCTTAATAGAGGGTTATATATGTTTTCTGTTACATCAAGAATTACAAATCATCATGATATAAGACATTCCAGAAAATTACAAACTTCATCTTATGCTTTTGGTATGTACAAGGTTGCAGGCTTCAGAAGTATGAGAACTTTAGCAGGTTTTTACTCTTATCTTTAGTTTGAAATGTTTCTGTTAGGTTATTTGCTAATGAAACAGATGTAAAGTGTATGCTCTGGGCAGAAATACAGCCCATGCTTTGAAGTTTGGTTAAGTCATTCTGACCTTGACAAAAGTAAAAGTGTAGTTTCCCTGGGAGCCCAGAAGCACAGCCCACAACCATTAAAAGTTGAAATTTTTCTTTATTAAAAGTTCAATTAGGTATAGGATTAAGACTAAATTATTTTTATTCTCAGTACTTTGATCACATTATTCCTCTTATTGTGACATATTTTACTGTTAAAATCAGATGTCATTCCACTTACTGTTCCTTTGTAGATGATTTGATTTTTCTTTCTCTTCTTAACTACTTGCATGAAACATCTCTTTGATTTTGATATACATAAACATGTTTCTATAGGCCCATTATTTTATATTTATCTCACTGTAGGTTTTATTATGTTTCTTTAATCTGGGTATTCTGTGTCTTCTATCAATTCTGGATAATACTCAGCATTTATATATTTAACCACTAGCTTTTTCCATTTCTACTCCTGTAAATAATAAGACATAGCATTGGCTCTTATATTCTGCCCACTCTACTAACTTTTTTTCTACATTAATCCACTTTGTATTTCTTCCCTGTTTCTAGAGAATTTCTTCATATATAAGATCCAGTTCACTAGCTTTCTCTTAACTTGTATCTAATTTTCTGCTTTCTAATTCCACTGAGCTTTTAATTTGCATTATTTTTATTTCTGAACAATATATTTAGTTCTCTAAAATAAATTCCAGATAAATTTTGTTAGTCTCGCCCTCCTTGACCATATTTTCAATTCCCTTTTATTTGTTTAAATGTTTTAATAATATTTTATATTTTAAATTTGATACATCCCAATTATTTAAATCATGCTTTTTCCAGCTATGCTATTTATTGTTTCTATTAACTCTTGCTAATGGTGGACTATTTTCTCATCTTTTTGTGATCTGAAGTATAAAACTGATATGTGTATGACCTTAAAGTACGAGAACCAAGAGCGGTCTGAGCTGAGTAGAGATTTCTCCAAGGGGGATATGAGTTAGCTTTTGCCAGGTATAACAGCTTTATGGAAGTAGGGCCACTCTGACTGTATTTCTTAGAGTGAGATTTTCTGGGTCAAATGGGACAAAGTTTTGTCTTGGTTACATAAGGTTATGCTTTCCTCCTTGGAGCCAAGTCCAGCAAAGACCAGTTCCAATGTTATGTCCCTTTGTTATCTGGCGAGTGTCTTTTTCAGTTTCACTAAGTTGTAGATTTTGGAAGTAAACATCATTAAGTACGGGTCCCCTTCCCCTCTTCTGCTGGGGCCAAAGGTTATTTTTTTTTCTCATGTACACTTCAAAGACCTTAAGACCCAAAGATCTAAGGTCCTTGTATAGCCAAATGTCCTTAAGACACCCCAGTGTTCCGCTTGTGATTTTTAAACTATTTTGTAGTTGCCCATTTCTTTTTTATTAAGGGTTTTCTTCCTTTCTTTTAGGCACAAATTTATAATTTAAAAGTTGTATGTTGTATTTTTTCAACCTGTTGGTGTTTTGTAATGGGGAAATTAAAAAAAAATTAATGTTAATTTATTTTTGAGAGAGATAGAGAAGCAGAGAGAAGGAGACACAGAATCCGAACAGAGCCCAACACGGGGCTCAAGCTCACAAACACGGGGCTCAAGCTCAGATCAGGACCTGAGCTGAAGTCAGATGCTTAATCGACTGAGCCATCCCGGCACTCCATGGAATGGGAAAAGTTTTAAAGTGAATTGCTGGGAACATAAACCTATAACCTTGTCTGTACATGACACAAAGTCACAGATTGAAGTTACTTACAGCGACCATCGTGGAAATCTATTCTTTTCCAGTGCAAAATAGAGGAAAGATTATGCTCGTATGCCTGACAGTGTACTCTTCTCTTCTCTTTTCTCTCTTGGCATAAAAGATAAGGAACAAAGTCATTATGTAATTACATTACTTTACAACAAACATTTACATAATCGATGTATTCCATGTATATCAATCAACAGAACTAAGACATAAATATTGTGAATTTTTAACATATTTGATTTGAAAAATAAGCAAATGTAAATTAATGCCAATTTTACTTCTGTTTTGGATTTCAGAAATCAAGTCTCCAAAAGAATATCCAGCAGACTAACTCCATGGGGACTCTTCCTCCATGCAAAATTCATGAACGTTAAAAAAACCACCTCTGTCCTTGGTTATTTTCAATTAATATATTTCAACACTTTGCCAAGATAAATGATGACAAGTATTTTTCACTTGTTTACAGGGAGAGAGAAGATAACCTCATATGATTTTTCTTCAAGAGAAAGAAAGTATTTCCATCAAACAAGTTTTGTTACTTTTAATCAAAATGACAGGATGAACACTCTTGACAGCTAATGATTGACAAGACAAGTCTCAGAGATATGACAGGGATCTGCTACTCTAAATTACTTTTGTTGCACATCTCAATGTAAGGTCATTTCTCTTCTTTTTCAGATATGGATTATAATTTCATTACCTATTAAAACTAAGCAAAAATCATTCAAAACATGTTGCTACTCTTCTGTTTGCCTTAACGACAAAATAAAACATTAGAAGAGTTTTTATTTCTTTGTTGAGATAGTAAAAAATACACACAATATAGTCAAGTGGAGTACTTTCTGTTTTTCTAGTGTAATGTAAAGAGAAGTAAAATCTGATCTACCTTAACCTATGTTGCAGAGATCAACATGAAATAGCATGATGAAATAGAAATGTAATAGACTTAGACATTTACTCCTGGCTCTGCTATTCACTACTTAAGTGTACTGGGAAAGTACTGAACCTGTTACTACCTGAAGTTCCTCAATTATAAAAACTATTTAAAAAACTTAAAATACCAAACTGATATAATTGTGGTGAGAGTTGAGTAGGTAAATCACCTGGAAGGTAGACTCTTATCAGTTACCTTTTTCTATGAAAGGTGTTTATGGAGGGCAAAACATAAACACACATACACATATACATGCGAATGTGTATTTATGCATATGGGTTTATGTATTCATATATGTATATATCTTTGTGGATATGTTTTTGTATGTATATATCCAGGAAGCATTTCACAAAGAAATGTTCAGTGACTCATGACATAATTAATGAACAAAAAATTGGAATAACTTGTAAGTCCCTGAATAAATCATTCCTTGGGGGAAAGGATGCTCACCCTGTTCAGAAGGATAGGGTGTTCACTAGGGTTAGGGAGAAATGACTTCAGTTCTGATGAAAATTAGAAAGCACACTTACCACAATCAAGGCAAAATCTGGACTCCAAAAAGAATGGGGGAGGGGTGGAATGGAGAAAAGAAGAACCACAGGTGTTATTATTTGCAGTATAATGAAGCCTTCACAAATCATAGTTCAGATGGCAATTTGTGATTGAGGATTATTTGAAAGCATCTCAACTGCAATGATCATTAAGGTATACTCTATCATCAATCTATTTAACAATCAATATCTGGAAGAGTTTTTAACTGGAGACTTTATAAAATAGCAGAAGCATGTATTTAAAATGCCTGTGGAATAGGAACATATACACTGTTCAATATTAATAGGATGAGTTAAACATAATTACATAGAACAAACTACAAAGCATATCAATGATGCTTTTTTTTTGCCCCCTTTTTTTTTATTTTAACCATCTTAAGATCACTCTATTTTTATTTGTTTGCAGATATTTGTGGATACATCTTAAATTTCTTTTTTTATTTATATATGAAATTTATTGTCAAATTGGTTTCCATACAACACCCAGTGCTCATCTCAATGATGCTTTTTTAAAATGATGCTTTGATATAAGCATCTCACTCTTCCTCTCATGAAACATATAAAAATACCTATGTCATGAGTTCAAATGCACACAGGAGCCATGCAGGTATCATAAGTATATAAATGGGATGAATATTCGATAATTGAAAGTGACATAATAAGCTGGAAGTATTAATGCCACACTAAAGCATTTACATTCAAGTTTTTGAAACCTGTGCTAACTAAAGAAACCACAGTGTTGGGTGATATTTGGTAGAGGACCACCAATTGTTAGCCTGCTTTATTCAAACAGGGCTAGATTCTCCTGTTCAACTGATCTTCCCACATCAGACCTTTTTCTTGCCATAAGCTATCTTCTTTTGAAATGGTCACTCCTTTTATCCAAATCATTTGTGACTAACTGCAGGTGAATGAAGTTTTCAGTTGAATGAAGTTTGCTATTATGTAGAATCTTTCTTTTAACATCCACAGTTATTTACCAATTGTGCACAGTTTCTATCTCTTTCTGCAGTCTTTTTCTGGAGACACTTTACTGGCTGTCTCCATGCATCCTTTCTGACTTTTCTCAGTGCTAGCAACACCAGAACCATTCTCTTTATAAAAGAAACAAAGAACTTCCCTGATTTGGCAACAACTCTACCCCATACAAGCCTTTCCACCCCCATCCTTTGCACAGAACTGTTCATAATGCACTGCTTAGGTTTACCACTGGTATACATTCTTGCTGACCATAGTGGACTGAAGTTTCAATAATATAGAGCTCGGTCTTCTAGGTAAGGCTCCTCTTGCTAAAATATATAGTCCTACATGAAAGTATGTATTTTCTTAGACATGTGAGAAAAAAGATAACTTGATTTGACAATGGAGGACTAGACTGTGGAGGACCTGAGTATAAAAGTTTGTCAGGGTTTATAAGGTGATTGGGAAATATTGCTGTGGTTTATTGTAGGATTTAAAATACTAACACTCTGATGGGGGGTGGGAGGGAGAAGAGGGTGGGTGATGGGTATTGAGGAGGGCACCTTTTGGGATGAGCACTGGGTGTTGTATGGAAACCAATTTGACAATAAATTTCATATATATATAAAAAAAAAAACTGGAGGGAGGCAAGGACAAACTCAAACATCTATAGCAGTGACCAGGGACATAGTGAAAATTTAGACAATGACTATACCATGATAGGCAAACCATTCTAATCTATGTCAATATTTAAATCATATGGCAAAATACAGATATGTTGAGTTATCTGAATCATTCATACAATGGCATGGTATTTTGTTAATAAAAAATTCACCTTTAGGAATATTAGTGTTTTTGCTGTAAGGAATAAACATGATGTTTGGGATCTCAAAATAAAATAAAATAAAATAAAATAAAATAAAATAAAATACTAACACTCTGGACTTCTGCAAGAGGGCAGCCTATGAAAATCCTGAAATCACCTCCTCCCACAGACACACCAAATATACCACTACATATGGATAATTCCCCTTGAAAAAGATCTGAAAACTAGATGAACTGCTTCTCCACAATAAAGGATAAAAACCACATAGAGATGGGATGGGAGAGCCAGCACCAGTATCACAAAAACAAAAACAAAAACAAAAAACAAAAAACAAAAAATACCCACCCCTGATACACAATATTGAGGGATTTCACCAAGATGGTGCAAGAAGTTGGTGCCCCACACCGGATATCCCACCCCCTGGGATCTGTCCCAGACAGGTGAACCCCTAAAAAGTGTGGCTTGAAAAACTAATGGGGCTGATGTCCGAGTGATCCAACACGTTATAGAAAACTGACATTCCTCTTTCAAAGGAATCTTGTGCACCTCACTTATCCAAGAATCAATGAAGAAGCAGCACTTTGAAAAGTGCCTAGACTATTTGTTAAGGAGATTCATTTACTAATCTAAAATCATCTTGTGGAGGGGCGGGGGACAGTTGAAACTCCCGGGAGACAGAGATGCTGGCAGACATAATTTTTGCGCTCTCCACCTACCCTACTAGTACAGGTGTGAACTTGAACATGGCACCCTCCTGCCTCCTTACTAACAATGTGAGGAGTGGAATTTTCAAGCCACTGGAATATCAAAGGATGAGATTTCTCTCAGTCTCTGAGTAGCAAGAGAAGAGCCATAAGCTAAGGGACAAGTAAGAACCCCCACAAAGTAACCAGGGCTGTTTATCTGTGCTATGAGCATTTCTAACGCCAGTCTGTCTGTAAGATATGTCTTAGAAGTTACTTTACTCATATTTAAAAAGTTCCTTTTACTAATTCAAAAAGCAAAACAACTCAAGTAATTCTCTCACAAACCAACACCAATTTATATGCTGCTAGTAATACTATGCAGCTGGAAGAAACAGCAACCCTGGGGACCAAAAGAACTTCAGGATGTTTTGTCTAAATGCCAGTTAGTTTTCCATGTTGAGCTAATATCTAGAGACCAAGTTAAGAACCAAGGCTAACATTTCAAATACAATCTCAGTAATTTTTTTCCAATCCTTTTTTATTGTTTCCACATTTTTAATGTTATTTAGAGATATACAAAGCTGAAATTGCTCTCAAATTGACTAAAAAAATTGTTCCAAAAGTTTTACATTTTTTTCAAAAAGTGCAATTTAAATGTATATATCTCTATCTTGGCATAATCATGATAGGCTTATACACAGAGATTAAATCAAAAATGAAAATCTAACTTTGGGTGGAAACAGCCCCCAAAGTCACAAAGACATATACTACAGCTTCGCCTGTTTTTCATAGGCACTGAAGCTTCCAACAATGCTGTGCATTTCCAGGGTTTCTTCTTCTTCTTTCTTTAAATATTCTTTTAATGTTTATTTATTTTTGAGAGAGAGAGAGACAGACATACAGACAGAGCATGGATGAGGGAGGGGCAGAGAGAGAGGGAGACACAGAATCAGAAGCAGGCTCTAGGCTCCAAGCTGTCAGCATAGAGTCCGATGCAGGGCTCGAATTCATAAGCTGGGAGATCATGACCTGAGCCAAAGTTGGATGCCCAACTGACAGAGCCACCCAGGTGCCCCTCTCCCTCTTCTTGAAAGGTGCTGATATTTTTTGGATTGTATTTCTTTTAGACAGAGACTAAAAAGCAGCATAGTTGTTCATTTATTCATTTACTTATTCCTATTTTCCACCCATCTTTTTTGAGCTCTCACTAAATACCAGGCACGGTGCTGGAGATACCAATATAAAAAGGACAACATGCCTCAGAGGGTAGAAAACCTCTCCTTCCTGATTTCTCTTTTATGCCATACCTTGAAAAAGAAGCAGGGTTTGTTTTTTCCCCTCTTCCCTTTCTTTCTTTCTTTCTTTCTTTCTTTCTTTCTTTCTTTCTTTCTTTCTTCCTTTTTCTTTCTTTTTTTCCATAATTTTTCTTTTTTTTTCCTCTCTCTTCTTATTAATTCATTTTTGGTCATTCAACAAATATTAGAAACCAACAATGTAGTAGACACTATGTTAGGCACCGAGTCACCTGCAGCACAAAATCAAGTCCCAGCTTTCCCGAGGATTTTGGGTTCAGGAGGATACTAGAAATACACAGGAGATCAAGTGGCTAGCACAATTATATACTAGATTATCACTATAAAAGAGTTAGCTGTATTAGAGAATAATGAGGGTCCTAATTTGAATAGTCTGGTGAAGGTTGGTCTCATGAGATATTTTGCCTGAGATTGTGTGTGTGTGTGTGTGTGTGTGTGTGTGTGCATGTGGGTATGTGTTTATTGAAGTACAGTTGACACACAATGCTACATTCATTTCAGATGTACAATATAGTGATTCTACACGTCTATATGTTATGCTACGCTTACCACTGGTGCAGCTACTGTCTGTAGGTTAAGATTTGAAAAAAGAGACAGATCCATCTTTGGAAAGGATGTAGGAATAACTAGTCAAGTTTTCCAGGCAGAAGAACAGGCAGCTACAAAGGCACTAAGCATGGAAACAATTTGGCATGTTTAAGAACCTAAAAGGGGAGAACAGTTGAAGCATAGTGGCCCAATGGGCAGTTTCAGAAGGAGGCAAAGACCAGATCATGTAAAAAGACATGTAGGCTACTGTAAGAAAGATAGATTTTGTTCTAATCAATGTGAAGCCATAAAATGGGTTCAAGCATGAAGTCAATTACAGTTATTAGCAATAAGAATACAAAAATACTAATAGCTTACATTTTCATATCACTTCTCACATAGTGGTAAGACAAAGAAAGGCAAGATACTGCTGATCCATTTCTTTGGATAATATATAACCATAATACTAACCCAAAAGATAATGTTTTGAGAAAGTGGAAGGAGGTTCCGACACATTTATTTTAATATTTACAAACATATAGATTGATTTTAATTCTTTTTAAATGTGCAGAGCTCATGAACACTCCAAGATGACAATACTTGTAAGTGTAATTGTATTGTTACTACAAGGACACTGGAAATGTCATAGGAACATAGGATCAGACCTCTCACTTCTTCTTCATTTTTTAATGTTTATTCTTGAGACAGACAGACTGAGAGAGAAGGAGACAGAGGCAGAGCATGAGCAGGGAAGGAGCAGAGAGACAAAGAAAGAGGGAGACACAGAATCTAAAGCAGGCTCCAGGATCTAAGCTTTCAGCACAGAGCCCCACACGGGGCTCAAACCCACGAGCCGCGAGGTCATTACCTGAGCCAAAATGGGATGCTTAACCAACAGAGGCGCCCCAGACCTCTGACTTCTTAAATCCTCCCCTTACACCTGCTCACTCACAACAGAGCTAAGCACATTGAAGGAGCCTCCTGACTGATCAAAGTTGCCTCTTGAC